ACCTGTATGGTGGCTTAAGTCTGCAGCTATACAGATTCCGTGCTGCTGGCAGGGGATTACTTTTCAGACATTATTTTCTACCGTTTTCCAAAGCTAGCACAGAGAGATTTAAACCTGTAGAAAATTGTTTTATACCAGGCTGGACTGGTGGTCTACTCTGCATTGTCTTATGTACACTGATAGGCAGAAGCTTTCCAAGGGCTTCAAGAATTTCTTTCCCAGACCTAGCTAGAGAGGCCAGCATTTGGACTTTGAAGCTTATACATGCATTGTGCCACTGAGCTGTGGGGAAAAAAGTGCATCTCAAATATGCATGAGAAGGTATCAGGCAAAAAGAGAGCAGAAGGCAAACAGACCTGGTAAGGAAAGAGAGCTGTCCGTGACTGATCAGGAAAGAGATCCTGGTGTGCTGGTGGACAGCTCGATGAAAGCATCAACTCACTGTGCGACAGCAGTGAAGAAGGCCAGTTCCATGCTCTGTGCGACAGGCCAGTTCCATGCTAGGTATCATTAAAAAGGGGATTGAAAATAAAACAGCCAACATTATAATGCCATTGTACAAAAGGCTGGTAAGGCCACACCTGGAGTATTGTGTACAGTTCTGCTCGCTGCACTTCAAAAAATACATGGTGGAACTGGAATTACAGTTCTGCTCGCTACACTTCAAAAAATACATGGTGGAACTGGAAAAGGTGCAGAGGAGAGTGACTAAAATGATGACTGGGCTGGGGCACCTCCCTTTTGAGGAATGGCTACAGCGTTTGGGGCTCTTGAATCTAAGAGAAAAGGTGCCTGAAGAGGGACACGATTGAGACGTACAAAATTATGCAGGGAATGGATAAAGTGGATAGTGGGAAGCTTTCCCCCCCTCTCGTGCAATAACAGACCCAGGGGATTTCCACTCAAATTGAGTATTGGGAGAGTAAGAACAGACCAAAGAAAATATTTCTTCAACCAATGTGTTTTGTTAGTCTGTGGAACTCCTTGCCCAACCAATGTGTTTCGTTAGTCTGTGGAACTCCTTGCCACCAGATGTGGTGATGGCATCTGGCCTAGATGCTTTTAAAAGGGGATTGGACAGATTTCTGGAGGAAAAGTCCATCGCAGCTTACAAACCATGATGCGGCTGTAGAATCTTCAGGCTTAGAAGGAAGGTACCTCCCAAATGCCAGATGCAGGGGAGGGATATCAGGAGCCAGGGATCTCGTTGTCTCATGTGCTCCCAGAGGTATCTGGTGGGGCCACTGTGAGATACAGGAAGTTGGACTAGATGGGCCCTTGGCCTGATCTAGCAGGGCTCTTCTTACATTATGTTATATGAGATTATAGGAAAGAACTCACAGCCTGGATCTCTGTTAAACATCTTCCCCACTTCCCTGACCCCGCCCTTAATTCAGAAGGAAGCTCATGTCCTGAAATTATGCAGAAAAAGTAGAGCTTGGAAAAATAGCTTTTTGGATCATGTCTTTCAGAAACTCCCAACCAGCATGGCCACTGAGATTCTGGAAAATTGTTTTTTAAAAAGCATCTTTTTCAAGATTGGAAAATGCCTGTGCTTGGGAAAGGGACATTGTATTAGGGATTTCCCTGTTGAATCACAAGAATAGCTTGGTCGTCACACAACATTTCAGATGCTTTTTAAAAAAACCATCCAAATTGGTTAATAGCAAGTATTTTGGCTTCTGGTGGAAGCTTATTTGAGCAGGACAGAAAGAAAAGAAAATGGAAACAGTCATTCCTGGTTCTGTCCTTTTAATCCTTTCTCTGAATGTCCACTTTTGTTTGTTTGTCCCGTCTATCCTTACAGCACAATCCTAAAGACAAGTGCAAAATCAGAAGAGATTGGTAATGCAGCATGTTAGATTCTGGCTGCCCTTCTGCAGGCGGGATGGTGGGGAGAGGGAGAGGAATTACATAATCCCTGATGTCCAAAGAAGGCAGTGGATTCACAGGGCAGGATTTCAAATGCTGGGCATTGTGGCATGAATTACTGTAGGAGGCCCGGCCGTGCTGCAGAGGATTTGCTGCACAACCAAAGCCTTAAAAATTAGGAGTAAAACATGAGACCTGGTTAGCATGGAACAGGGGTGGTGAATTCCCAACATCATTCTGTCTCACTCTCCTTGCAGCTTTGAGGGGTGGGGTGGGGGTTACTACTGGGGTCGATCACTGATAGAAATTTTTGAAGAGGTAGCTGTGTTAGTCTGTGCTAGCCTGTCAGGCAGAAACAAAACAAAAATGAAAAATAAAGCAGACAAAAAATGTTGTGGCACCTTAAAAACGAACTGAAGAAGTGGACTTGTCCACGAAACCTCACATTAAAAATGTAGCAGTTAATCTTTTTTTAAAAATTTATTCTTTTTATTAATTGATAAAAGAAAAATTACAAATAACAAAATCAAAACTAAAATACAAATCCAGTCGTGATAACACACATTGAACAGTTAATCTTTAAGGTGCCACAGTTTTTTTCGTCTTCTTTTCTTTCCATTTCTTGTATTGTTTTTTTTGCCTAACATGATGGAAATTTATGATTTAAAGATGAGCCAGCCAAGCAGAGCTTGCAAAATGGTTTAGAGTTGGCTATTTTTATATTGGCACTAAATAGGAGAGATTAACTTTTAACTGCACCTTTGCATCCAAAACGTCATCTTCTGCAGTGTGGACTGCTGGGTTGGCTGAAGGCATCCCATGTGTTACTGCACCAAGCAGTCCGACTGATGGAGACCACTGCTAATTCTCACCATGCAGCAGAGAATTCTGGGGCAGAAGATAGATCTAGCAATCCAGCTAGAATAATGGTTCCCTAGCTTCCATTAATTTTGGGATGGAATTGTTTGTTTGTTTAATTTATACCCTGTCCTGTATCTCAGGGTGGGTTACAAAGTAGTATAAAACAGTTCTATCTATCGATCGATCGATCGCCCATCTAGAACGTGTCTACTCTGGGCGGTTTGCATATAATATAAAAAATAAACTAAGATAAAATCCAGAAAGGAAAAAAGAAAGAGAGGAAAAAAGAAGAAGAAGAAGGAGAGAAGAGGAAAAGAAGAAAAGTGGAGATAGGTTAGGTAATGGCTGTAGGGAAGGCCTGCCTGTATAGCCATGTCTTCAAGTTAGTCTTGAAGGCCCTCAGCAAGGGAGCCAGGTAGATTTCAACAGGTAAGTTGTTCCAAAGCCGAGAGGCTACTGCCAAGAAGGCCCGATTTCTGGTTTTTTCCCACCAGGCTTCTCTTGGCATTAGGCCCTTCAGCTGCCCAGCCTGACTGGAGTGGGTGATACAGGTAGAACTGGGCAGAAGAAGATGCTTCGCCAGGTATCGGGGTCCTAAACTGTTAAGGGCTTTGTATGTAATGGTTAACCCCTTGAAATCAATGCAGAAGTGGATAGGTGGCCAGTGTAAGGTGGCCAGAGTGGGGGAAATATGGTGAAATCTTTTCACCCCTGTTAATAGCCTGGCCACCGTGTTCTGGACCATCTGAAGCTTCCGCATCAGTCTCAAAGGAAACCCCACATATTCTTGAGACTAAGAGCGCATGGACTAGCATGGTGAGCACCCCCGTGTCTAGATAGGGATGCAGCTGGGTGATCTGCCGAAGATGGAAGTGGACAGACTGAACCACGGATGCTACATGGGTCTCCATGGTAAGCGCTGGGGCAAGATGGATCCCCAGACTGCGAACCAAATTCTTTGTGGTGAGAGTCATCCCCCAAAAGAGAGGGAGTTCCCCAAACCACTGACATCAGGGGCCCCACCCGTAGGACCTCCATTTTGTCCAGGTTAAACCTTAGTCCATTTGACTGCACCCATTGCAGAACGGCCTCCAGGCAGCGCCCAAGGGACAGAGCAGCGTCCACTGCAGATGTAAAAAATGAGATGTAGAGCTTGGTGTCATCCACGTATTGGTGACGCAAAGCTCCACATTCTCGGATGACCCCCCCCCCACGGACTCATATAGATGTTAAACACAATTGGAGAGATGATTGAACCCTGCGGGACCCCACAGCTGAGGGACCACTGGGCTGATACATTCTCCCCAAACTGCACTCTTTGGGGACGGCCCTCCAAGAAGTACCGGAGCCAAGTGAGAGCAAGGCCACCAAACCCCAACTCAAAGAGCCTCTCCAGGAGGATACCGTGGTCGACTGTATCAAAGGTGGCTGAGATATCAGGGAGTACAAGCAAGGACATTTTGCCCCTGTCGGCCTCCCGAAGTAGGTCATCCACGAGGATGACACATGCTGTTTCCGTGGCGTGGCCTGAAGCAGCCATAGTGTGGCCTAAATCAAACAATTTAAAACGCAGACTTTGAAACTATTACATTACAACCTGTGCAGGCTATGATCTTCAAACCCCAAAGGCTCAGATAAATGTACGTATCTTATCTGGGAGTTGACATGATGCCAATGTTTGAGTCAGTCCTGTCTGTTGTGTTCACCGTAGAAATGCTTCATTAATCCAGTCAGTCCCATCCAACCTGTATGCTTTTGCAGTTAGTCTGTGTCAGGTTTGTGTCAAGTCTGATTTGGTTTGATCTGAGTTCCCAACAGCATACCTAGTTTGCACTCACCTTGACTAATCTAACTCAGATTTTCTTTTTTCTTTTTTTGAGCGGGGGGAGATAAGTATAAATTGAAAGCCAGTTCCTGCCCCCTTCCATAGTAATGCTTGTGAAGTTAGAACATAAAAGAACATTTCAGTTAACCATTTTCCTTGGTAAGATTGTGAGAGGGAGGATTTAAACATCAGTCTCCCATGCATATCAGACATGGTACAGTCTTGTGGATGCACTGCGGACCCGTTCCCTCTGTTTAGACTGCTTGGTTTGTTGTTGGGATTTCATATTTGTAATCTTAAGTTTTCCTTTATCTTTTAAAGGACCAACAACACCAGTGGGAATCAGTGGCCAGGAATGGACGTGGAGAAGAGGATATGTTACCCTTAGCTTGCCAGTGAGTGAGCCGATCTCTTACCTGCCACTGTTTGTCTTCTGTTACAGGAATGAGACTGTTCTACACCAGTTTTGCTGCCCAGCAGCTGATGCAGAGCAGAAGCCTTCATCTGCAGACTCCTCTTCAAGGTGGGAAAATTTGTCATTTCATGGCTTGCTTTTTCCTGATACTTCTGCTTACCCGTCCCTGTTTTAACTAGCCTCACACATAACATGCAAATATCATGCCACTCACAACCTACCCTCTGGGACTGGCTTTAGCAAGCCTAGGTCACTAGGAGAATTTTTTTTTCTTTTTTGCTCAGCATGAGAATGGAAGGTTATAGTGTTGATTCTGGAGTTCTGTTACTTTTGAGTAAGGAGAAAAAGGAATGAACAAACAAATGATAGAAAGAAATACAGTGAGCCCAAACAGACTAGAACAAGGGGGGAATCGTAAAGTTATGGGCTGAAGTAGCGTGGCAACTTCAGTATCTCTTTCAGCAATGAGAAGGGACAGAAATCAGAGTAACATGTACATGCCATTCAGAATTAGTGTCAGATTCTTTGCCATAGTCTTTGACAGCCACGCAACTGCTGGCTATAGCTCTGTGGGATTTTCTTCTCTGTTGATCTTGCAATGACCTACCCATTCACCCAATTTTTTTTCTTGTCATGCCTTACATGCCTTGCTGCTGGTTAGTGTCATTTACTCAACCTTTCCTATGCAAATGTGGGGCAAAGCAGCGAGCAAAGTGGGAGGATCTTTACTTCCTGATGTTCCCTTCACTCTGATTCAGTTTCATGGCAATGCCAGAGACTAGCATCGGCATCACCGCTGCCAGAACCAGTGGTGCTGGCTGTGAAAAAGGTGAGCATAGCTTCAGGAGATCTTCACTAACAACCCCAAATCTTGGGCATGAGCCAAGGAAATTCTCAAAGAAGTTCTCAGCTGATTCTGGTGGCCCATTGAGGGATGATTCTGATAGCCCATCCAAGAGTTCGGTGCAAAATACATGTTGACAGGCATCAGGAATTTAGTGAGATTTGATAACAGACAAATTGCCTGGAAGGGAAGACAGTGCAAATATCAAGGAAAGGTTGGGAAAGAGGAGGCCACGGCTAGAAACAGTTGCAAGCTGACCTCTTTCAATTTAATAGCAAACCTCATCCAGAAAGGTTTTATAATATCAGACCCTGCCATCTGATTTTGCCTTGAGCTGTTGTTACAGCTGATAGAGCTGCAGCATGAGGCTGCAGTGCCAGAGGTTGGGAATTCAATTCTCCGCTGTGCCTCCAGGGAGTAAAAAAACCTGTGCAGTCTTGGACAAGCTACATAATTATTAGCTGGTTAGATAGCTTAGTTGATCTGCTTCTTCCAGTTCTGTATCTAGAAAACCCTGGAAAGGGTTGTCAAGATCAGCTTTATGGCACATAATTATTTTTATTATTGTTAAGCAAGAGGCTGCTATGTGAATGTAGCTAGTTATGTAGCTTCATGGCACAATGGTTAAACTGCAGCACTGCAGTTGAGACTCTACTTACAAACTGAGTTTGGTCCTAGGCTTAGGTAGCTGGCTCATGGTTGATTCAGCCTTCCATCCTTTTGATGTCAGTAAAATGAATACCCAGCTCACGGGGAGGGGGGAATAATGTGTAGTCTGCATAATTAACTTGTAAACCATTCTAACAATTTGCTTAGAGTAGAGCTGAGCCAAAATGCCTCTTCATCACTTTCCCATTTGGGAAGCAAGGGGAACAGGGTGTTGACCTGGTTTACGATCAGCAGCATTCACTCTTCTTCCTATTGCTAAACACTGTTTTGCTCCTTTATTAAAATCCACCCTAAGAACAGCAGTTGAGCTAAAGCCAAGTCAGAATGAAGGCAGGAATAGAAAACCTTCCTGTCAACCTTCACATTGATATTGTCTGGATAGGGAGGAACAGCCTTACCTGATAATGCCAGAGGAAGGGCAGGAGAAAAGACAATGCCAGCTGAGTGAGGGTGGAAGAAGGAATGATAGGAACCAGGGTAGGGAAAACAACAGGTCTCTAGCAGCAGTGGGAAGAGCAATTATACTTGCCGCCAGGATTGCATGAGCAGAGATAGTAGCTATTAAAATAGTAACTGGGAGCTGAAAAGTTTGGCTGATTTTTCTGGTATTAACTTTTTTAGCTCAGCTCAAGTCCACAAAAAGATTAAGATTAAAACCGGTCCTTTTCTTTCCTCTTTCCTACAACTCTTGGCTGAACTTCTTGCTTCCCACATACTGGATATGCTGCTTTGGTCCCTGTCTTTATGCATGCACACCCAACACCAGCCTATATGCAAATGTTCATTATTCTTATTTATTTATTTATTTTTAAATGCTCTGCATTATGTTAATCCCATGCTATGGGCTTTCACATCGTACTTGCATTTCTGCTTGGCCTATTTACTATGCTGGCACTTAATTGAAGTTGAAAATAAAGCAGATTCTCTTCCTGTGCAGTATCATAAGGTTTTTGTTTTAATAGTAAAATATTGTGCAAAATATGTGTTAATATGCGAATCTGAACAAACCCAAGAGTACAGAGGAGGAACAACACACATGGAAAGTGAAATCATCTCTTCATTGCAGTGCATGTTTTCAAGGATTTTGCTCTGTCCTGACAACTAGACCTTGGTCAATAATACTTCCTGTTAGTCAATGTGTAGTGCTGCTAAATCAGCAAATACGTATCTCAGAACTTTAAGAGGAGGGAGAGCTAAGTCGAAAAGAATTCTCCTATAATTTAACCAGTGCTTAATATTCAGCATTCTTTGGTGAAAGCCAAAGACAACAGAAGTAGCATAAGACAGATGTGTTTATAGTGTAAATATGCCCCAAATCTGCTTGGTGTAGTGGTTTGTATAAATGAGGTTGTCCCATGTATCTCGTCTTTTTCCCCCTCTCAAAAACATTAAGGCAGAAGAGTCGTCAGAATACATCTTTTCTTCTTAACATTAACCTGACAGTGGTGTTATCTTAATATTCAGAGAGGAGGATACATGCGGCTCCATTTTGAATAGCTTTGGAAACCAATGTTTTCTAGGACATAGCAGTCTGCAGTTGTAGCAGAAGAAGCACAGTAAAATAAACCACTCATCTTAGACACTTGCATACTGTATGGCGTTTGTTACATCTCAGGTGACAACACTAAATCCAGTACTTTATGCCCAACAGAGATTAATTCTCTGAGTTAGGATCCTTACATTCCCAAAATGGTGCTGTTCAGATACAAGCAGGGTAGCTCCAAGACATTTTGCTGCCTGAGGCAAAAGAAAAAGAGGCTCCCTTTCCATTCCATGTAGAGACCCTGACTAGACTGGCACTTGAATTGTTTTTGAAGAACAATGGTGGGCAGCATCCTTCACTGCTGTTGAGATGCCAGGTTAGTTCAGTGGTCCAAGACAGGCTGTGTGACACACATAGGTCTATCTATCGACAGGAGGCAATGACGGGAGGGAAGAGCCACCCTCCACTCTCTGCCACCTGAGGCTGTTTCTTTACTTTGCCTAATAGTAAGGATAACCCTGAAAGGGAGCCATCAATAAGGTTTGGGGAAATACTGAACTAAGCACAAAATGATTTAGAGGGGGGAAATGTAGGGGGCGGATTAGCAAACAATAGTTGACCACAATGCAAAATAATCACTAGAGGCACTGGAAATTTGGAGAAAACGAGAGATGGGAATGTGGAATATAGTACAGTATTCTTGAAATACAGTGGAATGGATAGCTGGTTGGAATCCCAACTACGAGCAATACCATGTTTTATTTCAAATCTTCTTACTGATTTCTGACAAGGCATACAAGTCCTGTTTGTTTGTTTTTTCTTAGTAATGAGGTTGAGGAAACCCTAAATTCTTTCACCTTGTGAAAGGAGTAGGCAGATAGTCACAATATTGTTTTCAAAGCAGTAAGAATAATGTTTTTTTTTTTTCAGTTGTCTTTAGTGAAAAATTTAAGGTTTGTGCAAAATAATGACATTTGCACAAAACTACTGTTTATATGGACATTTTGGAATATGAAACATTTAGATAAATTGTTTGCACCTTTCTTAACAGCCTGCTTGCTGTGTTTGTGTGTTATTTGCTTCTAGAGTGGAAAGACCTTTGATTTGTGCAGGCATTTTTAAAAATGTGGATGTCTTAACAAAAAAAGAGAAGCAGTTCTGTGAATCTCTGGCCACTGGAGCTGAGGAATCTTGTGGGGCTTTCAGATTCTTCACTGAGTTGTATCTTTAAGTCAAGCCACCCTAACTTGATGAGCATGAGGAATTTAACTAGCATTCTTCACATTGACTGCTTTTGACTAGCCTTGTGAGTTCAGCAGGTTTTTGTTTTTGTTTTGTTTTTTGCAACCACCATGGATAGTATCCATGCTGGGAATCCTTAACCCACTGCAACATCTGTAAGGTGCAGGGCATCAGGTTTCTGAGTTCTTCCTTGCGTTGCTCCTGGAAGCACACAAACACAATAATTATCCCTCGTTCCTTCTTCTCTGCAGTACTGATTCCATCTCCCACGACTGTGCAAATATCCCAGGGGATGGAATGCAGGGGCCGAGTGGGCAGGCACTGCCCTTGGGGAAGCAGCTACAAACCATCTTGTAATTGGTACACCTTCTCTGGAGGATGAACACCATGACAGCCCAGCTGGATTTGCTGTAAAACTGAGGAAAAGAAAGAAAATTAATTGCAAGCTATCTTGTAACTGGTGAAAGGCTCCCCCCCCCACGCACACACAAAAGTAGTTTGCACTGTGGAATTGCCACGAGGGATCTAAAGGGTTATTATATAACTTGCCTATGAAATGTTTCTGTGATCTGACTCTCTTCCTCCCCCACCCCCACCCCCAGGACAACTAAAAATGATGGGGATTTGTGATTATTCAGGAACAGGCAAAGCCAATCAGAAACCAAATGAGCCAGCCTGGTGTTCTAAATAGGAAGCCAGGCAAATCAGCTCACTTGGGGCCAATCAGCTCTTTAGAATTAGCTCAACAGAACTCATGCTGAGGCAGCCATATTTCAAGAGGAGTCTCGCTGGCTTCCTGATGATCCTAAGCTCCACTTTGGAGACCTGTTTTTCTCTTCTCCATGCACCCCCCCCCCTGCTGATGTGTCG